AAAAAAAAAAGGAAAAGATCAGCTGATTCTCTGCTGTACAGTGATGAAGTAAGGAGTGATGGGTGGGTGGCTCTGGAGTCAGGGAAGGCCTCTCTGGATATCAGGGAGCCAGACATGGTGATATCGGGAAGAGTGTTCAGGGAAGAGGGGCCCTGAGAAGGTGAGCATGGCTGGAGCACAGTGGGCAGGGGAGAGTTGGAAGAAATAAAGTCAGAGCAGTGGCAGGGGCTCGATGCCATAGAGCTTTGTGAACTTGGCCAGGATCTGCCTTGTGAGTCCAGGCCTTATTTCCACATATGTAAATGAGATACAAGGAAATAAGGCATTTTCACCATTTTTTTTTAATCACTATACTTGTAGGAATTGGTTGTTAAGACCCTGATTGTAGCAGAACCTCATGTCCTACATGCATATCGAATGTGCAGACCTGGTCAACCTCCAGGAAGTGAAAGTGTCTGCTTCGAAGTCCTGGGATTTGATATTTTGTTGGACAGAAAACTAAAGCCATGGCTTCTGGAGGTAAGACATTTATTTAAGAGGAAAGAGAAATGATCAATGTTCTTCTGTATTAAAACAAACGCTTTTAAAATGTGCCCTTGTCGTAATTGTCTCATTAACCGAACAGAAAGAAGCCTGAATGGAGTATATGGGAGGAAGAGAATGTAAATACAGGGAGTAGAATAGTTCAAAGAATGGATCAATATGTGTTTGATATTACTTTTCTCAAATTAGTACTAAATTTCTAGGTCAGGAATTTTGGATATATGTGTGGATCTGCTTTTACTGATTTGCAATCTACAGCCTCCAGTATTTTCTGAGCCTCGTGGCTTCTACCACTTTCTGACTTCTAGGTGTTGCCTTTTCTCTCTCTCTGTGGGTGCCTGGGCTTCAGGACCACAGCCTCCCTGTCTTCATCATGTCTCCCCTTCATACTCTCCAGGAGAGAGAGGCTCTAAAGGTTTATCAATCAGTATTCAATACCTAACACCCCAGGGTGTATGAATTCTCCTTTATGGCCCCACTGTGCACCAGGGGCTTCCCTCACGTCCAGCCTGTCAACTGTGTGCCTTTGAGTTTGCCACCAGTCCCTAACATAGGCAGAATTGTCATCATTTTTCTTGTAATTATAAAAAGTCACTTAATATTGGGAAAATATAGAATAATATAAAGGAGAAATAAAAATGATTTCTGTTTAAGATTTTTATAACTTTCTTTCTAGTCGTATTTATATTTAAGTCCAGAAGAACCTTAGAAGTCATGTGGTCCAGTGGTACCCTGTTTATCAGTTCTCTCTCAGCTCCTGGATCTGGGGTTGTAGAGTACATAGACATGAAATACGGTGCTTAGGAAACTATCAGGAGAATAGCACATATATCAACACCTAGTGTTTACTAGATTAGTTACATTTTAAGGAACATGTTGCTATAGAAGATATAACAAGAACTGCCTTTCATTTTAAGTTGATTATCTCTTTTTTGTTAATAATACAGAAGTTGACAGTCATACCTGTAATATCAGGGCTTGCAAAAGCAAGTTGAACGAGTGACAGGTAACATCAAAACATTGAAAATATATATTTTAGGAAAGAACACTTTTCCAGTTTGAATGGTTTTGTGTGTGTTTTAATCTACTATGAGCAATTAATGTGTATTATATTTCCAATCAAATGCAGTTCTGTCAGTTCAAATTTTGCTCCTGTATGGGTCCTAGAAATAAGATAAATGTTAGGAATTTTGCTTATCCTTTTGCTTCCTCCATTGATTAGATATCAAAGCACTTGACATGGGCCCTCACCTAAGGCCTGCCATTTTCTTCTTTAGGTTCACTATTTTGTCTGCAGTCATCCTTTCCTGTTCTTAGCTGTATTTTCTTTTCTACCCCTGCTACATGTTTTTTATCCTTGATGGGGAGAGGAAGAAGTGAGGGCACATGCATGAGGTGAAGCTGAAAGGATTGCAGGGAATAATAACTTTCCAGATATTTATTTACTTGTTTTTAAAAGCATTTGCCTAACTGGAGCTTTGCATTAGCTTGGTAAATCAGAAATGACTGAATGACTGAATTCTGAAATTTCTTTACAGGCTCAAAATACCATTGTTTGCATTAATGCTTCTTCACACTTTATTCTCTCTTTCATTATTTCCAGATCAATCAGAAACATTAAAATAAAACTCCGCAATAACCAACAGCTATGGATAATGTACACTTACTAGATTTAAACGGTTAAGAGAATCTTATTTAGGTCTTGCTTCTTTGTAATTTCTTCCAGCTGCATTGTTGTGGTTCTAATATGTTGTTAAAAACCTTTTGGCGCCATCAAGTGGAATAAAGTAGAAGGTGCTTCTGAGAATGTGATAACTCTCAGTTCACTGGAATAATTGCCAGTAATAATTTGTAGCAGCAAATTGCAGAAATTATCAAGCATAGAAAATAATTTTTAGGGAAAAATGTGGAAATTGGCTGGAGTATGAATATACTGATAATACTTTAAGTATCTTTGCAATAATTTTAATAAGTCATTTTGCCAGGTGATGGAGAAACAAGAATAAGGCAGAATACTTGTCTTGGTCTTGTAGGGACTTGGATATGTGTTTTACGATAATAATTGTAAGTATATATAAGGAACAGGGAACCAGCACAAACAATAGAGTGATTAATCTGTGTACATGTGTGTATTTGAGAGTTAAAAAAATCTTTGCAGAAGCAGGAATACCTGAACAGAGTATTTAAGACTATAGAAGGTGGGGTAAGAGCTGAGGGCTTGGAGAGATGGGGATGGGTGGGGGGAAATTACTGGGCAGAGGGAATGGCACTAATTTAGAATCTATTGTGAATACTTTGATACATGTTTGAAATGATGGTGTTTGCTTTGGCAATACAACTATGATTTGGATGGTTAATAAGTAGTATTAATTTAATTTGCTTTCTAATAATTTTCATTTTTGCATGTATTTATAAGCTGCTGAGCTATAAGATGCTAACATCTTCTGGGGTTTGTCTATTTTAGACTGGGGGTAAGAAATAAGAATTAAAGAAGCCATCGACATTACAGAGTAGATTTTTGTAGATTTTGGATGGAGCCCTAATTTTCAGAGTTTCTCCTGTCAGACGTTTATGGTTCCTCTGTTATTTTTTTTTTCTTTACCTTTCTCATAAAACTTAAAAAAATCCAAAATGTTAACTGAAAAAGTTTTTCTACATTTTTACATATTAGTTCAATATGGGTGTATTCTTCATATATCAATTTATTTTCTATGATAGTAGGGGGAAGAATCTGACAGGTAAAAGAGAGGAGTGAGATTATGAAGAATCTAACATAGGTGAGAGAGAGGGGTGAGATTGTGAAGAATCTGACATAGGTAAGAGAGAGAGATGAGATTGTGAAGAATCTGACATAAGAGAGAAGGGTGAGATTGTGAAGAATCTGACATAGGTAAGAGAGAGGGGTCAGATTGTGTTGTAACAGACTTTACTGCCATCCCGGGGGAGGGGTCTGCCTGTAGGAATTCCCGACTGCACTTTTGGAAGGGACACCTAGGGAATTTTATACAGATAGATAACATTTTGGTGAACCACTTAATCATCAGTTCCTAAATGTCTGGTTTATTTTTTAATCCTGTTACATGTAGTAGCAGAACTGTCATTAATTGTATTACAAATTCCAGAGATTTGAGTCATTATGGAATGGTCGAAACTTCTTTTATAGAAAATATATTCCTTTATCCTTTCTCTGTACTCGTAAGAGGAAATTCATAGAGCTTTGAAGTAGCAGATTAATGAACTCCTTTTCTCAAATTTACCTGGAATAACTGGATGTTCTTACAATAACCCTTCCCTTGAGACCACATCACTCAGACAGGAAAATGTTCGTCACTTTCTAAATTAGAAATCAAAGAATAATACAGCATGGCATGTCTCTATCAAAATACAGCTCTATAAAAAGATCATCATGCATCCATCAAAATGATGGCTTGAAAGATTTTTATGATACCTTGTTAAGAGAAAAACTTGGATTCCAAAATAGTATCGTTAATATAGACCTGTATCTGGAAGGTAAAATGAATATTATAAATATGTATGCATAGCAAATATCTGGAAGACCAGTTATCAAGTGGTTAACAATACATTAGGCAGTCAGATTACAGGTGATGTTTATGTGGTTTATTTAGCTTCTATTCACTAATTTTTCTACAGTGATCCTGTGCCACATTTCTATTTAGAGGCATTTGTATTTCTGGATGATTTCCTAAGTATAATGTGGTATACTTTCTTCAGCTGCCAGTTGTAAAATGCATGCCATCACTTATCTCTCGTGGCGATGAATTTGTATAAGGCAACCTTCTTCTATGACTAATAGTATACATGTGTTTTGAGATCCTGTGGGTTTAGTTGCTGGTCATGAAACTAAGCTGCAGTTTTGAACTCAGCAGTGTTCTAACCCACTGACTTCCTGGAGTACTTAATTAAACACCTGCTATTCCTGTTACATTTTCATAATAACAAAACTGAACAACAACAAAGACAGAAATAAAACTCTGGTTCTTGAAGTGGTAGTGTACTGTCTAATGGATTTCAGGGTACATATAGTTACTTCTTATTTTTCATCTTAATGAAATCCTGGCAATGGTGTCTGAAAGTATGACCACCACAAATGGCTCATTTATTCCCGTGAGTCGTTATACAGTTAGAAAAGCTCGTAGAAGTTAGTCTGCAGCTATCCTTAATGATATCTTCTCAGTAATATAGTCAATGCCTTTGGAAATGGAAACCGATGAATTCTTATTTGATTCAGATAGAAAAAAGCAAATTTATTTTTTAGGTAGCAGTAAACCAGTTTATCCAGAAGAACTGAAGCAGGTGAAAAGAGGGCACTGATAGTTCCTGCATTCTAAACACATACATGCCTATAATTATTACCATATTGGTAACATGCATTACTTTTTGTGTATTATTTTTGTTATTATTATTATTATTATTATTTATTATTCAGGACAATAATAATACTTCTCTAAACTTAAAACTTAGAGTTGATAGGGTAATGGGTTGGGGACAGTGGAGAGGATGAAGGGGGCAGGTATACTGACCGAGGATCAGAGCCAAGGCAGCAGGGGGAAGGGAGCTGTGATAATAATCAGTTCCTTGCAACACCCTGACTTAGGGTGATGGGGAAGAGAGCCATGGCAGTAGTAACTGGGCTATCTACCATATGGAGCTTAGAGATTTATCATAGAGTCTTACTGTTGGTTAGGGATCCCATATTAGATTAAGAAATATGTATTGAATGTTTACTGGCCTACCAACATTTGGCAACTTCCATTGTTTTCTTTGTAAATTTTAGATCAATCGAGCTCCAAGCTTTGGAACTGATCAGAAGATTGACTATGATGTAAAAAGGGGAGTGCTGTTAAATGCACTGAAGCTGCTAAACATCAGGTAAAGTGTTTCCTATGTCTTTTGAAATTTTTTCACTACATTTGATATAGAGCAATCATTTATACATGGGATTGACTTGTAATTTTTTTGTATTTTATAGTCTGAATTTCTTGATCCCATTCTTCAAACCCACTTAGTTTTTTCTTTTTAAATATCTTTTCCCCTCCTCTAGCACGCTGTTTTTCTATCTTCTTATTTATTGCTCTGAACTTACAGTAAATATGTTTAAATTACAATGTCGGTATAATTATTTAATATCAAGTATGAAGTTGAATTGGTGGATACTTTAGGAAGCCCTCTAGATTACCTTCCTCACCTTACAAGAAGAAACTAAAGCAGAGAAGTCATTCAGGAAGTAAAAAAAAACCTCATTCATGGATATCCTACCTTGCTGTCCAGTGGTTTTGCCACTAGATCATGCTACCTGCGTAAACAGAAAAGAGAGAGAGTGTAGTAAGAGGTAACCTTCCCATGGAAAAGCATGGGCAGGATTTCCTTCTTCTTTAAGGCTTAATAATATTCTATCGTAGGTATGTACTACATTGCCTATATCCATTAATTCACTGATGAACATGCAGCTTGCTTTCATGTCTTGGCTGTTGTGAATAATGCTGCAATGAACATGGAAGTGCAGATGTCTCTTTGAATCCTAATTTCGACTCCTTTGGATATATACCCAGAAGTGGGATTGTAGGTTCCAGTGTTCATGATCATGAATGGCAGACATTCAGAATGCTGTTACATGGGAAAGCTTTTAGCTCATTGTGAAAAAAATTGTTAGAGTTTAACTGAACTGGTCAATGAAGTAGTGAGTTGTCAGCCATAATAAGTGTTCAGAAGCATTTAGAGTGTTAGATTAAAGGACCTCTCAGGTCATTTAAGATCAGTGATTTTATTATTTCAGTGGATTCTAATTGTTATTTCAAGAACTCTAGAAAAGTTGTGAGATGTTTTCAAGCAATTTATTTATTTTAAATGTTTCCAAGCATTTAGCAGATGCCTGATTGAGGAGTAGCTTTATATGGAAAGCACCATTAAAAAAGAGATCAACATATAAATTTGTTCAGAAATTTTCATAATGGCTCCTTCTTTTGCCCGATCAAAGAATGATATTTCAATTATGATATTTCAACTACTGATATTTTGCCTGATCAAAAAATGATATTTCAATTATGATATTTCAACTACTGATATTTCAATTATGTTAAAAGAAATGAATAGAAAGGAAAGAGATGTAGAATGGGAATTTTTTGTTTATTTAGCTTAAACAAGTACATCAAGTATTTTGTGTTATTCAAGCAATATGCCTATACAATCTTTTTAAATTTACTATTAAAAAATAGTAAATTAAATGCTCAAAGTTAAGTGAACTCAGAGAACAGAATGTCAAAGAAGGCCAGTAAGGATAAATTTTCAAGGGCAGTGTAGCATTAAATGCTGCAACCACCGTACACCTGCAGCTGGTGAACCAGTTCTAAATAAGGGCCAGATTATCTAATCAAATCTAATCTAATCTAACCTAATTAACAAACAGAGTATTTCACACTCATAGGACTCATGGGACTATGACTATCTTTTCTAGACTCTATTTTAATGATTCTATACAGCACTTATGGAGGAACAAAGATTCTTCTTATCAACCCATGAATACACCCACTAAACAGGATTGGATTTCCTTTTTATTATTAAAAAACCCCACTTTTTTACACATATTTTACTATTTATAATTATCTTGACTCATTATTCTTTTAATTGTTCTGCATATAGCCCCATTTATATTCTCTTGTCTCTTGTATAAGTAGGCCTTGCTTTTTTTTTTTTTCCGCATGTCTTTTGACTTGGCCAATGATGGTACCAGTTCAGAACATTATCTATGGATGTTTTTGGTCTTCTTAAAAGTGAGATATACATTTAAACAGTGAGGAATTTCTGTACTTAAAGAGAGTCAGAATTCATCTTTCTTATTTTTCTTAGCATTGTTCTACTAAAAGAATTTAACACAATTTTGGACATTTTGAGCATATGCTAATAAAGCTTATGTTGTAGATGTGCTTTTTCTCTCCAACCACATGGAGAGCTCCACAGGCATATATGTGATAGATTTGTATTTCACTGTGGCTAGGTATGGGATGGGGTACATCAAGGGAACATAAGCAGAACCAAGAACACTAGGAAAATTTTTGCCTCTTTATTACATATTATTGGGTTAATTTTCATATGTACAGTTTTAATTTTGGATAAATTGTACTGCGATTCCAGAAATTCCCTATTTATACTCATTTTAATCAGACTCTTGCAACTTTTTTTTTTTTCATGGCTTATCATTTTGTTTACTCTCTTATGCTCTGTGCTGTTTTACTTGGACATGGCTGATTTTTCTTTTCAATTTGATTTAAGCTCCCCGGAGTCAAGTAGTACATGCTTTGGTATTCTACACAATTCTTAATACAATACTTTACTTGTAGTATGGCTCCATATATAGCTCAAAGTTTGTTTTGTAAACATATACTTTTAGTCTCAAGAAAATCCAGAAGAGTGTAGATTGCTCAGGGTATTCCATCAAAACCCATGGGAATACCCAACCTCATAATGAGAGGTCAGAATTGATCCCCTATGTACTTGGATGGCACAATATAATTTGAGTTCAAATTAAAATAATTTTCTGAAACATTAGGCTTAGGGTCTTCAGAGATAAGAGAACGCAAATAGGGCTATATGCAGAACAATTAAAAGAATAATGAGTCAAGATAATTATAAATAGTAAAATATGTGTAAAAAAGTGGGGTTTTTTAATAATAAAAAGGAAATCCAATCCTGTTTAGTGGGTGTATTCATGGGTTGATAAGAAGAATCTTTGTTCCTCCATAAGTGCTGTATAGAATCATTAAAATAGAGTCTAGAAAAGATAGTCATAGTCCCATGAGTCCTATGAGTGTGAAATACTCTGTTTGTTAATTAGGTTAGATTAGATTAGATTTGATTAGATAATCTGGCCCTTATTTAGAACTGGTTCACCAGCTGCAGGTGTACGGTGTTTGCAGCATTTAATGCTACCCTGCCCTTGAAAATTTATCCTTACTGGCCTTCTTTGACATTCTGTTCTCTGAGTTCACTTAACTTTGAGCATTCCTCTTTGTCCTATGATTTTACTTACTTTCTTCCCCTTACTTGTCATTTTTTCTCTGGATTCTTGCCTCAGCCCTCTTTTCTTCTATGTTAATCTCATTTACTTTTGAGGTATCCTTTATGAGTCAGACACTGGAGTCTCAAATCTATACCTGTATATAGTAAGGTATAGATTGGGGTTCCTCTCCATAGCACTGTCCCACTCTGGAGCCCTAGTCTTGCTGGCAGCTCTCTGCTGACCATGTACACTGGGTGCTTCTGGTCTTATAGGGGCTCAATAAATATGTAGTGAGTGATGAGCTGGCTGGTGAATGATTGGATGAATGTCCTGATGGCACTTTAAATTCAATATGACTAAAGTTAATTTATCTTCTTCTTTAATCATGTTTCTCTTGCTGGGTTTTTTTCCTTTCTTCTGCTAAGGATATCAATTACCGCCAACCCACAAAGACTAAATCTAATCATACATTCTGGCCTATATTGTGTTAGAAACTAGAGATACAAAAATGAGTAAAATTTCCTCTTTAAGTAGCTTCATTTTTAAAAGGGAAGCTATATGCTCATAGAAAAGTACATACAATTATAATCACTTAAACCTAGTTTTCTGTCTCTTTGCTTTGCTAGTTAATGGCAAAACCATCCACATTAATGTCCAGGCTAGAAGCTAGGAGTTATTTTTAACTCCTTCCTTTATTATCAATCAACTGAGTCCTGTCAAATATATGACTGACTCCACTTACTTTCTTAGTCTCAGTTTAAGGACTTCTCATTTCTTTCCTGGAGTAATTTACTGGTTTCCTTCCTTCTTCTAACACTAACCTCCACTTCATTTTCCAGCTTCCATTCTGTTGCTCTCAAAGTCATTCAACAAGTGTTTATTGAGTGTCCACTACCATTGAAGTAGGTACTAGGAATTCAATGTCTCCCATGATTCCTAGGTTTCTGGCATGGATGACTTGTTTGACAATATGTCATTTATTTATATAAAAATCTTAGATGAGAAACATGTTTAGAGGAGTGATAAAGGATGGTAGAAAGAGAAACAATTCAATTTTAAACATGTTAATTTTGAGGAGCATTGAGACCCCAGGCAGAATTGTTATATGAGAAATTTGATATACAGGACCCCAGGAGATAGAGATATCTATTTGGCTGACATCTATGTACAGATTGCCCTTGAATCTAATGGACGAGAGTACACAGTTGGAGCATATATATTGAGAAGTAAAGAGGGGCATGGGCAGAGCCCTGGGGGATGCCAGCATCTGAAGAGATATTTATAAACTTTGAGATACTCATTATATTGTTTCCACAGTATCAGACGAAGTTTAGACATTGCATCAAGGCATTTTTTGATCTTTAAATTGTATACAAGACAGTGTTTGATCAAGTTCTTACATCTCTTGCCAATCTGATCAGTGCTTGTTCTTTTCCCTGCCATGAATTAATTTTTCTAAGAGTCCTTGTGTGGTACTGTTTCACATGTTCATGGTTTTGCATGTCTTCTCGTTTGTTTGTTTGTTTATTTATTCTTTCTTTTTTAAATTAAGCTTATTGGGGTAACATTGGTTAATAGAATTCTATAATTTTCAAGTGTACAGTATAATTTGACATTTATATATTCTCTTATGTGTTCACCACCCAAAATCCAGTTTCCTTCATATTCTCATTTAAATGCACATTTAGCTTTGTCCCTTCAGTGAATGTTAGCTCATTTAAAAAATTTTAGTGAAATAAACAACATAAAATTTACTATCTTAACTATTTTTAAGGGTACAATTCTATGGCGTTAAGTATATGCACATTGTTGTGCAACCATTACCACCATCTTTCTCCAGAACAGGAGCAAAACTGTTCCAACTGAAACTCTGTACTCATTGAACACTGATTCTCTACTGATTGCACCAGCTGCTTGGGAGGGACAAGAGAAGAAAGAGGTTCAGGGGAAACCTGTCTCACAACAGGATTTTTCCTATAAAAATCAGACAGCTGTAACTAAATTTTCATGATTGGGCAAAAATGAGGACTATGCAGATATTTTCAAATAAATAATGATCATTAGGCTAGAATTTCAGTGAGAACTGAAAATATACTGAAGTGTGGTCAGTGTAAGTGAGAATGCTTAAATATAAATGGAATTGGTTGAAGGAGGAGAAAGGAACCAACATTTATTAAGGAGCTATTAATGTTACCACAAGTTAATTTTATTTAAGAACTCTAGGAGGGAACCATTATTGTTATTTAATAGATGGGGAAACAGACTCAGCAGGTAATAGACCTAAGACTGTACAGCTAGTAAGTTGCTATACTGTTTCCATTTTATTTTGTTACCTTTAGAACTTCTATTTACTGTATGGGAACCCTTATTTGATGGATGATTAGATGAATATAATGTATGTGACTATGTATTAACAAACATTGATTCCTATCCTGACTGGGCCTCTCTTTCTGCTAATTCTCCTCACATGGATAAGATCAGAGCTTATTTGAATTCTAGAGTATGGTCTTGTATTTTATATTTTAGGACCAGTGATAAAAGGAGGAACTTGGCCAAACAAAAAGCTGAGGCTCAAAGGAGGCTTTACGGTCAAAATTCAATAAAAAGGCTCTTACCAGGTTCCTCAGACTGGGAACAGCAGAGACATCAGTTGGAGAGGCGGAAAGAAGAGTTGGTATGAAAATTTTAACAACATATCCACAATTTGAATTGCAGAATTCATTTGTCGGGTTTTATTTGTGAAATTTCTTCATTTCTAGAAAGAGAGACTCGCTCAGGTACGAAAGCAGATCTCTAAAGAAGAACATGAAAATCGGCATATGGGGAACTATAGGTAACTATGTTTCCTTTTTATAGACTATAGAAGTGAAGTGTCAAAACAATTAATCTTCATTTTTAACCTTTTTGGCTTGTTTTAAGCACTGTTTAGTTCATTCTGAGAAAGTGCTTTTCATTTGATTTTCTTTCCAGAATGAAAATATCGTCAGCAAATGAGAGAGTTCCTGTTAGCCAGTCTTGAGGGTGATTCTGTGGGGTCATTTAAACCTGATATTATCCTGTGAACTTATTTGGTTATTATAATGTGGAATTTTTAAAAAGTCAGGTTTCAGGTCTCCTAATATTCTTTCTGTGAGTTCGAAGTAGTTTGCTGTACTATGTTTTAAACTCAAATATATCAGGAACCAGGCAAATAATGAAAATGTAGGAAGGA